TCACCAACTAGTGTCCCTCTCTATTGAGGAAGAAGGCTCAAATGTTAGGTTTGAGTATGGGAACCCCGAAACAGAAATAAGACTCCAAAGAAAGCACTGAAATAGGTTTCCACAATTCAGGAGGAAGGGTCATTAAAAGTCTCATATACTGCAGAGGTTTGATTATGGATTGATTAGTCCGTAGCAGAAAGATGACTTCAGCAAACTTCAGGGCCAGTCCAGCCTTAGGATCTCAAGCCATATTCAAACCTTTGTAAGCTCAATCTGTTTAGTATCCACGCTAATGAAAATCCATGAATTCTTTCAGTTAATACACTGTGTCTATATGCTGAAAATCTAAGTACTTTTTCTTGTGAGAATATTGGTTTTCTGATGTCATGATTAAGATCAAGTGCTAATGGTTTTATAGAAATGTTTGAGCTACTTTATCACCAGAATATCTGAATGATCTAAGTGTGGGGTACATTGTTTTGTTTTGTTTTTTAACCTTGTTCTTCTATTGAAAGAACAAACTTTGGGCAATTACTCTATCAGCTGGTATCATGAATCAATCCATGTGTAGGCCAGTTAGCTTCACACAGAAAAATGGTCTTTCTGTTATAGCCACCTACAACACTACCATACACAAAGCCAGTTTGTAGGTCTGCGCCCTTGGTCACCGAGTTAGCAAGGCAAGAGTGCTGAAATGACTTCATATATCCCACCACTTTTTCTGAGGATGTAACTCAAAGCCCACCGCTAAAGCCATGGTTATGAGTAACAGCACCTGCAATTAGTGACATATTACCATCATATAGCTATTACTCTTGATTAAGAGAAAATGTGGCCTCATGAGTTTGATGACTATGTTCTCAATTGCAGACCACGGTTCTGCCTAACGAAAGATGACTGTGATTTTTCTGTGTGAAAGGCAGGCTGGAAGCTGTAATTTACACATCCAGATATTGCAATTTCTGGTGTACAAAGCCAGAAGGCAGGAAATTTGACATCAAGATTGTTCTAAAAAGCATTACTATTTTGTTACCATATTTATGGAAAGCTCAAAAAAACTACATTATTTGGATAAAATGAAATTTTACATTATCTTCTTTGAAAATCCAAAACTCACAATTGACAGAGCTGGGAAGCATATTGAAAAGTGAATATAGTTTGAAAATATTAGTACATTTGATAAAGTTTTAGTTTATTCTTTTCCAAAGCACAAAATATATGACGACGTAAAGGAGATTACAATCTGAGATAAAAATAGGATTTAGCTGCTCGGGAATGCTCTTACTCAATGTCGAATTCTTTATGAAGTGAAGAAGGAAAAAAAGGTTTTAAAATACCATCAATTTTAATCAAAGAGAAAGCTTATGCACTAGTATCTACTAGACACTTTTTTTTTTTTTTTTTTTTTGCTTAGAGACTGACTATATCCTTTTGTAGAGGGAGACTGTTTCTCCAAGAAGAAATGACGTGGATCTTGGTTCCTGAAACCACTTAAAGAGAACTAGATCTGATTTCACATTAAGATAATATTAGTGTTTGAACTGTACCCCTTTTTATTAAGTTGTCGTTTTTTCTCGTTTATTAGATTCAGAACTTGCTTTGATGTATAATGATGAATCTGTGTTGGAAAACCATCATCTGGCCGTGGGTTTCAAACTGCTGCAAGAAGAACACTGTGACATCTTCCAGAATCTCAGCAAGAAACAGCGTCAGACACTCAGGAAAATGGTTATCGACATGGTAAGACTTCAGCCTCTCTGCATTCCTCGCTTACTTTTACCTTTGCAGGAGGAGAAATTCCATTCTCTCCGATAAACTGAGCTTATTGAAAGTTTTCATTTTCTTTTTACCCAAGGTGTTGGCAACCGATATGTCCAAACATATGAGCCTGCTGGCAGACCTGAAGACAATGGTAGAAACAAAGAAAGTTACAAGTTCAGGTGTTCTCCTGCTCGACAACTATACTGATCGCATACAGGTATTTAATAAAAGCCTTTGATTTAACACAAAGCCAAACCAAACAACAATTAAAAAATGAAAACGAACTTCAGTTGCATGTTCTAGGTTATTACTACAGCTTTGGGCTTATTTTAAGAACAAACTAAGCAAGCTAAGAAATACCTAAGAAAAGCATTGCAGTTTATTCTCTAATTTATGAGGAAAAACATAACCCTATTTATTGAATTGCTTAGTTCTAAAAATAAATGGTAAAATCTATTTGCAATAAGGTGTACGTGACTGCTGTTTTCAAAAGCTCGTGTTTGGATATCAATCTCATTGACTTGAAGTTTGTTAGGTCTGTTTTGGTTATACAAATTGTCATCAGCTGGTTTCCTCTTTCCACAAGCAGAAAATATGAAGATATTTACTTTGAGTAGTTCTTTGCATTTTTTCCAAACTGAGGAAAGGAAAATGATGGCAGTATCTGACCTCTACTGTCCTTTCCAGTTTTAAATTCAGTGGCCATCAATCTAAGAAGACACACATTTTCCCTTTTGGGACTCCTCTAATGGTCAATGACCAACTCTGGCCAGCACCATTGTAATTCTGCTTTTTTGATGCACACACTATAATTATAATGCAACTAAAAATGTTCTTGGGTTTGGTATCAAGTGTACTAGTATGAGAGAGATGAGATGTTCTGGTAGTATTTACACCTAGTTTTATGGGATTTCCAAAACTTGATTTCAGGTCCTTCGCAACATGGTGCACTGTGCAGACCTGAGCAACCCCACCAAGTCCTTGGAATTGTATCGGCAGTGGACAGACCGCATCATGGAGGAATTTTTCCAGCAGGGAGACAAGGAGCGGGAAAGGGGAATGGAAATTAGCCCAATGTGCGATAAGCACACAGCCTCTGTGGAAAAATCCCAGGTATCTAATATGTTTTCAAAGTTTTTGTGAGCTCTGCTGATTGTAGAACTGGAGGATTCTGTCTAGTTCCTTTCTTTTATATAAAATCATAAGGAAGCAACTACTCATTTAGTTCCATTATACTCATGACTCATTCATTGCCTTCTCCATTACAGTCAGTTTCACAGGGTGGAGATAAAGCAGTCATCAGAACCCATCAAACTTTGGACTGTGTATTCTCAAACAGTTTGGTTAGTTGTCTATGACCTTAGCAAATCCAGCTGATTGAACTGAAGGCTGCTGCTTCATCTCATCCACTTAGATTCCTCCTAGCTCTCTTTTTATCCAGGAGCTTTATTCTTGTTTCCTGCAGCCTATTTTGCTATCTCTCCATAGCCACCATAACCAGAGGTAGTGAATCTTATTCCTACATACTTCTTCTACCTCATAGTCCAAGCTCTGTCTTGTGTTCCTCTACACCTCTGAGAACATGCTGACATCTTCCAGTTATGTCAAAAGCTACAAAGTCCCTGTGTGCTGAAGACAAATACACTGGAGGCGGGGGGTTGCAGAAAGGCTCCAGAGGCCTCTAGTTGCAGAGTATATAGCACTAGAAAGTGTCACTATTCCTACAAAGGCTTCAGGACTTGCTGAAAAGTTTCTTTTTTTTTTTTAGAACAAAAAATAGCCTGAGCCAGGTGGTCATGATTGAGAGAATGAGTCTATAGGCTGTCCAAGGTTTTTCTCACAAAAGCACTTACAGTGTTTTTTGTTAGTGTTTATCCTCTCCCTGCTATCTGCTACCCCCAAATTTCCATATGCTTGTATATGAGTGTATAATTCCTTTGCAGTTATTTGGTTGCTTCTTAAAGAAACTCAGTCAAATGAGTTTAAAATCTGTGAACGTGTTCTAAAAGTCTAATATGCTATGAAAATGCATAACATTAATTTAGGACCAATTCAAATACCCTAAAGCCTTAATTAGAACAAGATCTTAATCAATCAATTAATTAATTAATTAATTAATTAGAATGCCCTTTCATGAACTATGATTTTTTTAATATTTATCTAGTGTCAATGCTGTTTTCCACACATTTGCCCATATATTATCCTATTTGAACCTCCACACAGCCTTGTGAGGTAGCTTGTATTTCCTCAGTGTGTCAGGTGAAGAAGCTGTCCTCTTGGTCCCTTTCACCAGCTCTTTAGTGACTCGGCCACCCCTACCTAAAGCTCTTCACTCTCCATCACTGTGGACAGGTCTCCCTGTGGCCATGACATTGTGGTTCTAGCTGGTATTTCCCATAGATGTGCTCTGTCTGAGTCATCTGGCAATAAAGCCTTTGACTAAGTGCTGTTAGGATTTGTAGAGCTCTCTTATTCCAGGACCTAGGAAATAAGCAACTAGAGGCCACCTTTCAAAAAACGCTGAGCATTTAGCAGAAGCAAAACAAATGAAGAAAGGAAATGACTGCATTGTATTCACATGATTCAATTTTCTCCAGTGCCTTGAGCTTGTTTTTTCAGGTCCCTGGAAAACACCTTGAAAATAGTCTCTAAAGTCAATTAGACACACATAAAGAAGAAAAAGAGAGGGAAAAAGAGTGGGTGGAAGCAAAAGAAATATCTGAATCAAATACAATCTAGTTCTTATAACTAATGCAGGTCAGAGCTGCCCTGTCTTTAGCATAAATTCTATTCAGGCTAGGGAATCACCAGAGAGAAGAGAGATGAGAGACAAATAAGATGTAAATGAGTTCACATATGACTAAGACTCTTTAATATGCTACAACCTCGATGTATTAAATGACCGGCCAAAAGCTAGAATATTAATGAAGAGAAGTTTCCAGTAGTGTGGAAATGTAGCTATATAATCTCCCATGGGTGCATATAAATTGCCCTCGCTCATCTCCCCCTGAATACCAAACTAACATCTCTCCAGCTCGCTAGACCCTGACAGGGGAATTCCATTCCCTCATTCAACTGATGCCTATTCTTTCTCTCAACCTGCTCCCACCCCCAGTGTTTCCTGTTTGTCCCACAATGAAGAGGTCAGCATGCGGCCACAGAGCCAGCTCATACAGGATGCATAGTGCCTGTGTAAACCATAACAGAGCCATAAGCCTCATATTTATTCGCAGGAACACTCGCACAGGAACTGCTTAATTGTTTTTATTTTCCCTTCTTTCTCCTGATGGAAATGACTATGTGCCTTATGGATCTAAAACAATCGCAGACGTGTCCATAGAGGGGATATTTGTTTAGGAGCTTGAAGTATTTTCAGATGTTTTACCAAACTCATCTGTAAACCAAAAGCATTCCACAGTTCTTGAGACATTTCAGAGTAGTCAGAGGCTGGCCCCCATTCTTTGGAACTGTAGCATATTTTCAAGTTATCAGGGAAGGAATGTTGAGTCAGAACTTCTTAGACCTGGGGCTTCCTTCTTCAGAGAATGACTCACAGAAGCCAAGTAATGACGGTCATTCCCGGCCAGGGTTACATCCAGACTTCTTATCTGGCACACGTAAAAGGAAAAGTCGTCAGTTATACTGAGACGTGAGACGAACACAAGGTTTGGAATCAGACAAAGCTGGGACTGAGGCCCAGCTCCACCACTTACTGGCTCTGTGACCTCCATCGAGATATTTAATCTCAATGAGTCTTAGTTTCCTCCTTTGTAGATAGTGGGTAACAATACTTTGCAGGACTAAGAGCAGTGATTTTTATATTGCATCCAGTGCAGGACATACTATATACAGTAGTTGCTCAAATAATGGGATCCATTATTAACAAACTCTCTGGGGTTGTTGCTTTTTCTTTGCATGGAAACCAGGATGACGTGTTTGGTTTTTAAGGCCCATCACAATAACAGATATGTGACCTTATTTTCCTCCAGGTTGGTTTCATTGACTACATTGTCCATCCGCTGTGGGAGACATGGGCAGATCTGGTACAGCCTGATGCCCAGGACATTCTGGACACATTAGAAGATAACAGGAACTGGTATCAGAGCATGATACCCCAGAGTCCCTCCCCACCGCTGGACGAGCAGAACAGAGACTGCCAGGGGCTGATGGAGAAGTTTCAATTTGAACTGACCCTAGAAGAGGAGGATTCTGAAGGACCTGAAAGAGAGGGAGAGGGCCACAACTATTTCAGCAGCACAAAGACACTTTGTGTGATCGACCCAGAAAATAGGGATTCACTGGAAGAGACCGATGTGGACATTGCGACAGAAGACAAGTCCCCAGTCGACACATAATCTCCCTCTCTCTGTGGAGATGTACATTCCACCTTGACAAGCATGCCAGCTATATGGTAGGGCCAGCCCACCATGGAGGCCAAGGCCTGCACAGGACAAGGGCCATGTGGCTTTTCAAGTTACTTGAGTATGGAGCCAGAGTGCAAGACCGTGAAGCAAATAGCAGCTCAGGAAATTCCACGGTTGACTTGCCTTGCTTGCAAGCTTGGTGGAGAGCTGAAGCTTCATGTGGTACTGGAGGCCAAGTTCGGATCACGACTAAATGGCCTGAAAATAGAAGACACAAAACTGAGAGATTTTTCTGCACTAAGTTTTGGGAATCTGTCCCCTCTAGTGACTGAATTGACCGATAACTTCATTTATAAATCTGCTCACCTGTCCCTTTGTCTGCCAACCTGTGTGCCTTTTTTGTAAAACATTTTCACGTCTTTAAAATGCCTGTTGAATACGTAGAGTTTAGTATCAACTTCTACACAGATAAGCGTTCAAAGTTGACACAAACTTTTTTTGACTATTTCTGGAAAAAAAAAAAAAAGGAAAGAAAATGGTCTTCCTTCTTTCTTGGGCAATATCTTTCACTTTACTACAGTTACTTTTGCAAATTGAAAGGATACGCTTCTAACCACATTCTACTTCCTTCCCCTGTTGTCCCATCTGATTCCACAGTTGCCCTTACAACCTATCTCTCTTTGCCTGCCTTGAACAGTACTTTTTCTCCTTGAGAGTTCCACTTTTTTTCTGTCAACAGAATAAAGTTGAATAAACTAAGGGGTAGGAAGGGAGTAGTTGTGCTGTTCATAGTAACCGTCTGTGTAAAACCAGCGTAATAAGGCAGTGCGCCCTGTGGTGTCCGGAATTCCTATGCCACTGGGAGCTTCATTGCCCCATGCTGTTCTCCCCCTCCTCTCTTCACTCTCACACCCAATTATGCCATTTTCAATTTAATGCTGCCGTCTTTCTCTTGCACTGCCTTCTGCGCTAACACCTTCATTTCTGTTTATAACCATGTATTTATTACTTAATGTATATAATGTAATGTTTTGTAAGTTATTAATTTATATATCTAACATTGCCTGCCAATGGTGGTGTTAAATTCGTGTAGAAAACTCTGCCTAAGAGTTGCGATTTTCTTGTAACGTTTTGTATTGTGTATTCTATAAACTGAACATTGCTTAAGAGAGATATACGGCCCCCTTGCCAGTGACATCATCGGTGGGCTCTTTTACTCAGAGGGTCTGCCCTTTACCTGTCTGAGTTGCTAATACTGCTCAACACCTTTATGAACCAGTTTAGAAACAGGATTCTCACATTGGATACTGAATGGTTTATACGGAGCTTTTACTTTTGTATAGTTCGATAGGGGTAGGAGGCAATGGGATGTAGTTTTCACCTATGTTCTGTCCAAATCTGTGTACGCACAAGTTGGGCTCTAACGGGGTTCTACTGTAACTGTGGCTTCAGTTTAAAAAGCAACACTACATTTGCTCACAGATGGTTCTTCTGAGTGTTTCCAAACTACTGACTTTGAAAAGAAAGCCTCCTGCCTGCCATTAAGCAGGAAAAAAATCATGTTCAAATTAATTACAAAAGAAAACAATAAAACAATGTGAATTTTATAATAAAATGTGAACTGATGTAGTAAATTATGCAAATGTGAAGCTTCTCATAACAGTTGTTAGGCCTCTTACTGGCTTCAGTCTCAGTTTGTAAAATATATTTCATGCTTTCAGTTCAGCATTGTGACTCAATAGTTAAAGAAATGGCACAAATGTGCATGACTAATGGGTTTGTATATCTATGAACACTGCATTATTTCGGGTGGACATTTTATTTTCAAAAGCTTCTCACAATGTATCTTATAATACTATTATTATTATATATTGTGTTCAACTGCATTCTTAACAGACTTTTCTATGAGGTGAATAAACAAAAGCATGATTAGATTAGACTGTAGGCCCAATTATTTTGTGGTTAGTTCTGACGTATTAAAAGCAGACCTTTTTTCGCTTCTCTTCTAACATACCCCACAAAGAAAACCAACCACTTTGCCTGGCCAACATCAAAACTGAAGTTTCAGAATCTGTGTCTGAAAAGTCCCCAACTTGGAACATTACACATTTTCTTAGCAATCGTTCACCCAGTTGCTAAGAAAATGGGAAGAGAGGTAATGAATGAAACCAAACAGAACCACCTTAAGAATCTGAAGAGTTTAATTTACTAGGTAAATAAAGGGAATCTCCATCTTCTCTGAGGCCTCTGGAAAAGTGAATCATAGACTCACAGAACATTAGTCAGATGGTCCCATCGATCATTTGACACAGGAAGAATCTGAGGGGCAAATAGTCCTCTGAAAGCACAGTTCACAGAACTCCTGCGGATACTTGTGGTCTTTCGATGATCCATGGAGTCTTCTGTTGATCAAATGGTTAGGCTTTTATTTTTTGAAAGAACCGTGTAGATATCATAAGCAAAATATTTTGTTGAATGCTTTGTTGAAATCTTATAGTTAGCTTTAAAAAAATTATACTGAGAAGTGTGTGTGTGTATGTGTGTGTGTGGTTAAGAAGTTTGCAAGAATCAGTAGATGACTCAGGTAAGCGGTTTGTGAACAAGTAAGAGGATCTGCTCTAGAGAACTCCACTCAAAAAAATGAAATCATTATATTTCTTTATAGAGATAATTGAAGATGAGCCAACATTGCAGAATCAGCTTGCCCGCTAGCTACAGAGCTAATATTTATAGCATTTCGTCACCACCCCTGATTTCCAATTGCACCCCACCATCTCTGAGCCTTTACTGATTGAGCGACAAAAGTGAATCCGTTAGAATAACCACAGGTGGGACTTTTAAAATGTCTACAGCCATAAATATTTATAAATGTTTGTAGGTCTGTTTCTACAGAGAAGTTGTTCTTAACCCTTGCTGCAAAATGAGAATCATCTGGGGAATGCCTATTTTTTTTAAATGTTGATGTTTGGCACTCATCCTTACCTCAGATTTCTATATGAATTGGTCTTGAATGGAGCCCTGGGTATCAAATTTTTTAAATTCTCCTGAGGTAATTCTAATATGTAATTGTGAGTAGGGAACCACTGTTCCAGAGAGAGAAATATGCTTGTAGCTAAGGCTTTTTTCTTAGTCCATCGGGGGTGCTGTAACAAAATACCAAAACTAGGTAAATTAAAAACAACAGAAATTTATTTCTCACAGTTCTAGAGGCCAGGAAGTCCAAGATTAAGACACCAATACGCTCACATTCTGCTGAGGACCCATTTCCTGGTTCATGGCCAATGACTTCTCCTTGTGTCCCTACATGGTAGAAGGGGCTAGAAATCTCTCCAGGCTCTTTCATAAGAGCATTAATCCCATTCATGTAGACTCCACCCTCATGACTCTAGCACCTCTCACAGGTTCCTCCTCCTAATATCATCATCTATCTTTGGAGTTATGATTTCAGCGTCTGAATTTTGGGTGATACACACATTCACACCATAGCAACTTTCTTTTACAGCAACTGTCTGCAGACATTGTGCACCTGCCATGAGCAGGCACTGGTTCAGATACAGAGATGAGAGTAGAGATGAGAGATAAGCAAGACAGAGCTTTATATTCCAAGAGCTTGTAATCTGCTATTGTTGTTCACCACTTGCCTTTTAGAGTACTGAATTATAATTATGTTTGTAGGAAAACCAAAATGAAGATCAATTGAAAAGAAAGTTAATCACCTGGTTCCAGAACATAGGCCCTAAGTGTAATCACCCCCCTATCTGTGATGGCATGTCAGTGTTCCTGATGGCAAGAAATGACTGCAGACACAGAAAATACTGTGCAATCTTTGCCAAGCCTAAGAGCAATAGCTTGATACTTAACAAAATATATAAGAGCCTAAGGCTATGGAATTGTCAGAGTTGAAAAGAAATACACAAATACACAGGCATACACATGCGCATGCACACATGCGCACGCACACACACACACTCACACACACATACACAGGAAAGCAGTTCCCAGGCATGTTCCCACAGCCTTATTTTAACATAAATAAGTTGAGGGTCATAGTAATTCTCAGTCCATTGAAGAAAGACTAAAAAGGCCAAGTGAAAAAGGGTGGTTGATTGAATGGATTCTGTTGCCATGAGGCCTAGGTTCAAATCCTAAATTATCCAACCACTCAACCTTAGACAAGTCAACTACTCCCTGGGCTTCAGTAAAATAAGGATGATAAGTCTGTTAAATGGGTATAATAAACCCAGGCCTTTTCTCGCCATTCCATTGCTACCTCTCTGAGCTCCATGTCTTACTCAGTGATCAAATCAATGATCATATGAGCCTTAAAACCGCTGAACCAACATGGGGCATGATGGTTGGCAAATCCCATTTATAAACCTATGCTTTGTGCACCCTGATCTCTGCTTTCACGTTCACATGGTGTTCTCTCCATGTGCATGTCTGTGTTTAAATTTCCCCTTTTTATAAGGACACCACTCACATTGGGTTAAGGGACCACCCTACTCCATTATGACTTCCTTTTAAATAATTAAATCTACAATAACCCTATCTCCAAATAAAGTCATATTCTGCAGTGTGAAGGGTTAGAACTTCAATATATACATTTGATGGAGGGGATAACAAATCAACCCATAACACACAGTTACTCACCAGAAGTTCCGTTTCCTAATATGGGGCTTTTTCTGCAACAACATAACCTTAGACACCCATTCAACTTCTCTGCATCTCAAACTCTTCTCTAAAATTAGAAGAATGGACTGTATGTTTGAACAGGTACTATCTAGTTATAAAACTTTAAATGCTTTATGCTAAAGCATTTTTGGTTTCTTAGGGTCTATATTCTTCAAACATATTAATTATTTTCTTGGTGTAGTTAGGTGCTACACAGAGAATCAGGGAGAAAAGGAAGCAGGACCTTGGGGTAGTAGGATAAACATAGCTCAGGGGTTAAGAGCTTAGGTTCTAATGGTGAACAGGTTCTGATTCAAATCTCTGCCATTCCGTTTTCCAGCTGTGTGACTGTGAACAAATACTTAACCTCTTCAAGCCACAGTTCCCTCCTCATTAAAATAAGGAAAATAATACTAATTGCTTCATAAGGTTTTTGTAAAGACCAGTGAATAGTACAATTAAAGTACATAAGTGTAAGCCATTGTATCACAGATGTCATCTAAGGATTCATTCTTTCCACGAATATTTATGGAGTGTTAATTATGTGCCAAGTATTAAACAAAACAAAGCCCCTGCCCTTATAAAGTTTATATTTTAGTGGGAGAAAATAACAAATAAAAAGATAAACTATACAATATCAGGTAGTGTGATATGTACTATGGGACTGGCGAGTGATGATGGTTAAAAGCAATGGCCCTGGAGTTCGATTGCCTGCTTGGAATCCCAGCTTCACCCCTTATTAATGGCCCAGACTGGAGTATAGCAAACACAAAGGCCCTAAAAATGTAATGGGCTTGTCAACCTCAGTGAACAGCAAAAAGGCCAGGTGAGGAAGAAGAGCAGGAAATAAGGTTGGCAGTCAGGTCACAGAGTTGTTAGGCTATTGTAGGGACTTTAGGAGGTCATTGGACAATTTTAAGCAAGGAACTGATATGACAGGACCTACATTCATCTAAAAGCTTACTCTGTGAGGGGAATAAACTATATTGAGGCATATGCAGAATCAGGGAGACCAGTTAGGAGGCTACTGAAATGGTCTTCTGAAGTGACATGAACTTGACAAGATTAGTGCTAGTAGAAGTATTGAGAGTTGGAAGATTTGGAGTACATTTTTAAGGCAGAGGCAACAGGGCTGGCTGATGCATTTGAAAATGGAACCACAGGAAAAGGAATGACAAAGATCCCAAAGATGTAACCTAGGTAACCTATTGAATGGTGGGAACATTTCCTGTGATGGGGAGCATTTGGAGAGGAACAGATTTTGGTTGGAGATGTTGAGGAGGCAATTAGATGTACGAATCTGAAGTTTAGGGCCAAGTTTCTGAGAGTCTTAAACCTATCAGTGAGCAGCTCCCTATCTACAGTTAGCCCCTCTATCTATGTAAGCTAACTATGTTTAACCCTAACTTATCCCTGATGCCAGGTGTATTCTTTTCAGTAGGTTCCTCAAGAAATCTGCCCACACCAATCATTTTGTGTTTTTATAGAATGTACAGGGGGTCTTGGGAGGTCATATTCAATAGCACGCTACTTTCTGCCACCTCACAGTTGTCTCGTTCTCTCTTTATTTTTTCCACTCTATCCTCCAACTCATAGATACTCCTTTCAGGAGCAAAATCTGTTATTTTTCCTGGCTTTTGCACTGCAGGTAGATTCACCTTTTGTTGGTGGAGCACGACTTAGGGGGAATCTCACCTTCTAAACCAAAGAGCTCTCAATAGTTATTTTGTGCAAATATATTTTGAGCACTCCCAAGATAAATTTGCATATAAGAACATTTCTCCATCTTGTTATACCTCCTCCCAATACAATTAGGAAGCTCACTCACAAACTTTAAGAGGTGGGTGAGGAAAAGACAAAGGTCAAATGTTTCCTTATGGCACTCAAGCTTTCCCCATCTCTACGTCCAGGTATTCCCACACTCTTTGCCAGATTTGCACTGATGCTTGACCTTTGCCCTCTGGCTCTGCTCAGTGGTTGGAACTTGGAGTCTTCAGTAGTGACCTTCCCAGACTCTCCTGTTCTTTTTTTCCTTCCCCTCAAATTTTACCCCATCCCTAAAAGGACAAAAATTCTTCTACATATCTTTGATAGAGAAATTTTACCAAACCCTTTTATTGCTCGAGAAGGCTCTTTGAGTCTGCTGCTTCACCCCAGGCAGCTCTCACCTCTCTCCACAGTTCCGTGCTCTGAGTGCAGGCCCTAGAGTGAGCCTAAGTGGAGACTTAAGCTACTCCCTCATTTGGTCTCAGTTCCTGCATGCCTCTCACTGTATTTGCTGAGTAAGATTTTTAATATCTAAAGATATATTCTTATTGCAAAGCATGGACCTTCAAAGCAAGACAATTAAGTCATCTGGTGCTTAGGTAAAATTAAAAACAAATAAAAAGTGATCATTTACAACACTGGGAGATAAACCAAAATGGCCATTATGGATGCTTTGAGAAAAAGCACGACCTGTCCAATATAGTTCTTTTCAACGGTAATTTGGTTTATATTCTATTTTTATCTTTCTCGTTGACATCTAACCTAACATTCAAGTAAGATGTGACTCCACAGTTTTTCTAGTTCCCTACATGGAAATCTCAAGAAGAGTCAGGCCAAAATGTTCACATGAAATCAAACAACTGTAACTTCTGCGAGGGCAAAGGTCAGTCAGGTCTGATGCTTTGCCCTGTTTCCGCAATGCCCAGCATCATAGCTGGCACAGAGTCTGTGCTCAGACGTTTTTTGAATATATCTGGATGTTGATGACAGTAAAACCCCAGTTAATGAGCAGATGAGAAGAATGTGTGTTGCAGCAAGTTGACTCTCAGTTTCTCTCACTAGATTGCATTGATCTGTTTTCAGATCTGTCTCCCCCTCAGCACTAAGCATCTCCAAGAGAGGACAATATATTTTGTTTTGTTTCCTTTTTAATCTTTGTATTCCTTGTCAGCAATCACTATGTTGGCCCTAAATGAAAGGAATTCTCTGTCATATTTGTTGAGCAAATGATCCAAGACACAAGCTAGAAAATCTTGTTATTGAAATTACTTGTGAAATATATCTGTCTACATGATTTTTTTGGTGGGAGAAGGAATAGAGTATTCTGGGGATAGCAAGATTTGACAAATCTTTGTTCCAGGCCTTGCTCTGTCCCTTCTTAGCTGTGGGAATTTGGGCAAATCACTTAAATTTTCTGAGCCTAAATTTTTTCATAATTAGATAGAGCAGACAATAGAAACCTAAAGATGAAATCAGAGATAGTATTACATATCGTACGTGCTCAATAAATCTTTATTATCTGGATATATGTTGTCATGAATGGAAGAATAAATTATATTAACTCTTTTAAATGATATAAGTAATATAATGATAAATCATTTAAAGGATAAATGATAAACACTTTTTTTAAATTGCCTTTGAAAAGCATAACACGGTAATACATTTTGATTAATTTAGGGTTCTGTAAGTCAAATTCTAGTTAATCTAGATTTTTCTATACATAACTCAAGATTCCAGGAGGAGAAATGCTCTTACTCTAACCCACCAATATGGAACTATGCTGACACCGATAGGCTCATTAAAATAGAAGGAAATGTGTAAGCCATATTAGTCCCCTCTCAAAAATATGTCTAATTGAAAACTTCCAGTGGCAGAGAACACTGCAATATTTTTTTAAGATGATGTAAATTATTAAATTTTTGAGATGGAATCAAACTATACTCTTCTAAAGCACCCTTTCTGGTTTATGTTTTTTCCTTCCATAGCCAGTCAATGTATATAACTCCTCTTCTAATTTCTTGTTGCAGTTGAAAATAGGAGTCAAACTTTCAGAGTTCATGATGATGTGACCTTGGGAAAAATAATATAACCTCTCTATGCCTCAGTATCCTTATCTGTAAAATAGAAGTAATAATAACTGTACCTATTTCAAAGATTATTGTGAAGATTATATAAATTAAGGCTGTAAAATATTTAGAATAGTTTCTAGCCCATAGTATATGTTAACAAATGTGAACTGTATATAGCTAGAAGTCATGTGTTTTCTACAATGTTCCTTCAACCATTTTTCATATGACTTAAATTCATCATTCTGGTCAAATTATCCTGGGCTTGCTCACATTGACAGTGTTTTCTTAGGATGAGTGTCCCAGAATAAAGCGCCATATTTCAGTCATGGTAGAGCGCACATAGCCCAAGATTGTATTCATTTGGGGAGAAGTCAATGACTCACCCTGATGATTCATAAGATGCTTATAGGCAAACAAACCCTTCACACCTTTTCACACGAACCAGTGTGAAACCATGTCTCCTCCATTCTCTGCTTGTAGAATTGAGTTTCTGTAACTCAGTGCATCATTTACACCTTTCTAATACATTTCATCTGCAAAACTCACATGGAGTAAAGGAGAGAGAGTCTTCAGTTCGGGTGTCAGACTGAACTGTGTGTAAACCCCAGCTCCAGGACTATCTTTGAGACCTTAGAGAAGGTACTTAATTTGTTTGATCTTCAGTTTCCTTTTCTGTAAAATGGAAAAATGATATCCATATCAGATTATTTAGAAAGACTGACATAATTTATGCACAGGCAGTCATGCAATATATGAGTGTAATTAGTAATATTAATACCCTACTATAATGATTAAATAAGATAATATATGTGTGGGAAAAATCTTCATATTGTTGGTTTAAATCCTAAAACCAACATTGTTTTTGACCTAAAAATAATTTTGAATTCTGATTCTGATAACCTATTATAATAATGCATTCTATATTTTTAATTACACTACTGGTAAAAATGTTAACCAGAACAGGACAAGAAATGGAGGTGTGTTAAGCTGCCAGCAGTCTTCCAGATCAGCATCAATCTATTAGTCAGTACTCCATTGGCAATGGCCATGAATCTACTATAATTTTAGCTATGTGCATAAACATATCAAGAAAAATGCAATCAAAAACTTTCTTGAAATTTAGACATAATGTCTAAAGCACTTCCCTCTAATCTACTAACACTAACTGAGAGATTATTATAGCATGACTCGTTCTTAGAGGACTCATGCTAGTTACTTTCCTCTCAAATGACCTACAAATCATATTTTAATTATCTATTCTAGAATTTCTTATACAATGATGTCATGCTCGACAATCTGTACTGCTGGATTTTTTTTCCTAATGATTGAGATAATATTTGTCTGTCACATATTCCCTTATTTATGACATATTTTGTGTTGTTGCTGATTTCTCAGAGATCGCCAATTACGAGTCAAAAACACATTGGTTAAATCCTTTCAGTATCCTGAAAAATCATGCTTTTAGAGACAAGAAACCACATACAGGACAGAGAGGCTCTCCTCACACCTCTTCACTTTATGTGTCAAGTCTAGCAGAAGAACATGGTACTTGTACACTCTTAGCTAAGGGCTTATCACCTTCTAACTGAAGAAAACTGTCTTCTTTCCCCAAACACACAGTTTCAGAAAAGATGCCAATAGAACAGTGAAAGAAGTCAGGGGAACCAATCTACTATTTCGAATTGTTCTTCTGCACTTATCATTGATTAATTAAGGAAATATGCATTGAGTTCTTAATATTTTTCAGATATTGTTTTAAAACATTTTCCTTTCTCCTTGGAGAATATAAGAAGACAGATGTGCAAATAAAAAAAAATTGATAACATTATACAAGGGGTAAAATGGAAGTATGCATGAAGAACACAAAAGTGGAAGCAACTATTTTGGGAGGGTGGATGACAGGGAGCACTTCTCATATGAGGACAGGGTTAAATATTTGAGGCTGAGTCTTGAAGGATATTGAAGCAGTCAGCAGATCAAAAGGATAAGGGAAGAAGGGCAGGAAGGGTTGTATTCCAGGAAAAAGATAGAACACATGAAAAGAGTAGAAATGTAAACGACCATCGCTGAGGTCTATCGACGTATTCATTCATTCATTCCACAAATATTTATTGAGTTCATACTGTGGGTCAGGTACTCTACTAGACATTGGGGATACAAAGATATGCAGAAAAAAAAAAGGCTTACTCTCATGAAATAAAGTTGCAGTTAGACAAATATTAAATTTTTAAAAGGCGAATGTGTTACTAGGAACTGATACAAGTTCTCCAAAGGATGAAAATATGAGAGTAATGAAAAGAAATTACCTTGGCCAATTTATAAGAAAAGGAAAAGGAAAGCATTTTATGACTATAAAAACAACCTGCGCCAAAGTCCCATTGCAGAGGAAGCAGAGTGCCTACGAGGACTGAAAAAAGGGCCGGTTACACTTGAGATTATGGAGTAGTAAGAAATGAGGCTGGTGAGGCAGGCACAGGCAAGATCTCACAGGGCATTTTAGAGATTTTGCTCTTCCTTACAATGAGAAGCCACCAAAAATTTTAAGCAGGGAGGCGATATAATAAGACTTGAATTTTGGAAGATCATTCTAATTACAGTGTGGAAGGCAGATCCTGAGATGACAATAAAAAACATGGGAGACAAGTTAATAGGCAATTTTAGTAGTCCAGCCAAGACAACATGATATCTTGGAGTAGGGTGGGACTGTGGAGATGGAGAAAAATGTGTGGATGTAGAGTTATTTAGTCATGGCATTTACCGATCTTAGTGATAGCTGATATAAGAGAAGAAAGAGGTGAAAAAGACTAAAGAATTGATCCAAAGTTTTTGGCTTATATAACTGAAAAGGTGGTGAGGTTGTTTTCTGAAAAAAGAAATACCAGGGAAGTACTAGTTTGTGGGAGGTCATGATTCCAGTTTGAGGGGATGTTGATTTTTGGATGTCTTCGTGACATCCAAATAGATGTCAAGTAGATAGATGAATATGACAATCTGAAACTCAAAGAAGCCTAGGCTGGGAGATATCCATAAGTCATACATAATGGTACTTGAAGTCATGGGATGTCCTAGGGAGACATTGCATAATGAGAAAAGAGGATTGAGGATAGGACTAATCTCTAAGGAACTCTTTTATTTAATGAGAGAATATAAAAAAGATAGGTCTATAAAAGAGACTGAGAAATTGAAATCAATAACTAGGAAGTGTACCAAGAGAATCTGATGTCTAAGAAAGCTAAAGGAAGAGAATGTTTTTAAGAAGGATGTGGTCCACAATGTTGAATCTTGGTGACAGATACAGTAAAATAAAAAAGAAAACATATTTTATTTAGAAATTAGATCATTTTCAATGGAGTAATGGCTCAATAGCCAGTTTCCAGTGAATAGAAAGTAAGAAGATTTTTAAAAAATGGAGGTGATAAGAACAGACAAGAAGTTTAGTTTTAAAAAGAAAGATTGAGAGGAACTAAGGGAAGAAAGGTTGAGGGATCCTCGGTAATGTCTGCCTGAAAAGGCAAAAGTGATGTGGTCCGAAGCACACAGGATTAGTGGAAGGATTAGTCTTACGAAGGCAATCACTTTTCCCAACATATGAAAAAAGGTGGGGTACCGGTATAAGTGGATTTGTAAGTTCAGCAGAGGGAAGGTAAAAGAAGTCCTTTCTTCTGATGTCTTTGATTTTCTTTTAACAAAAGAACATTGGCCTCTTCTCACGTGCTATTTCTTTCAAACAAGAGTAACATTTGGTTAAAATCAAGTTAAAACACTTTCAGAGGATACCAAAGGAACCCAACCATCCAATCATTGAGCCTAAAGAAATGATAACTCTACTTAGAGAAAAGAAATGGAAACAATCTTTGAATAATTAAATCATTATTATGTAAAATAATTAGTTTGTGCTAAATTACACTAAGGGTGGGACCCAGGCCAATGGGGTCTGTTTCAACTCAGAATTAAGACAAACTGGAATTTCTAACTGTTTTTATTGCCACCAAATTTAATAATGTGAAGATGTGATAAATCCTCAGTTACTAGACGTGGTTGTTCAAGGAGGCCTTTACTTGTTGCAGGCGATGTAAAGGGGGAAATTCAAGCATGAGATAGGAGGCTGAATGTTGGGAATTTCTATTTTTTTGACCATGTTTCTCCCCTTTACATGAAGACAATTTGTTTTTGTTTTTTTGTTTTTTCCTTTCAGCATGAAGTTTATTTTCCCCGAGAAGATGGAAAGATGGGAAGATAGGAAAAAAAGAGAAGATAGGAGAAAATAATTATCAGGCTAGAGTTTTCCTGGGAATCATGTTACTTCTACACTATTGGCCCCATCTATAGGACTCCCCGGTCCTTTCTAAATTTGTCTTTTTCTGAGAGTGTGTGTGTGTGTGTGCGTATGTGTGTGTGTTTTGGGCTTGATTTTCTTCAGAGGTTCGAATGCTCCTCTATGGTCCTCAGCAATTTTTCATCTATTCTATTCTCATTGCTTTCTTACCGAGCATATACTCCTATTCACCATTCACCAAGTGGCCTTCTTGACTTCTCTTATGGTCTCAAACATTTGCATTTTGGAAAAGTTGTCCCTCTTCCTCCATTTTTATACCTTTTTACTATTACTTAAAACCTGAAATCTTCAGAAAGCGTTCTTATGCAGTCACATGAGTTTTTCTCATTTCCTTCCTAAAATCCAGGAATAAGGGCCATTTGTATAATACTTTATAGGTTTTATAGTATCCATTCATAGGCATCACTGCATTTGATTATCACAAAGATGTCTTGAGATTCAAGTTACGTGCCACCAGCTCCAACAGCATCACCACTACCATAATCACCACCATAACCATCACCAACTCCATTTTAAAGATGGAAGTCCAGTGAAGACTAAGGGAGTGCTTCAAGTCATTCCACTGAATGGCTAAAAAGCAGAAACTGAGATCTGCATGACTCTACAAGTCTCTTTTTCCAGGACTTGTTTTCTCTGCTATTGTAAATTTTCGGTTGGCATGGTCACTTTCTTTAAAACTGCCTGTTATTTCCTTCTCAACAACAAGCACTTTTTCTTTGGTTGTAATTACATGGAATTGCAGTTCCCTTAGTTACTTCCTCTGTTATAAAGAGTGTTTATTGAATTATCGAGTGAACTTTCTAAGACCGTTCTTTACCAAATTCTCGTGAATATTAATGTTCCTTAGGTTGTGTGAGCCATCTCCTCTAGGTAAAATTAGTCTACCCCTTTTGAGGTCTCTGTGTCTAAATTTGCCCTCTCAGAGGCATATAAATACCCACCTTGAAAGTGCATCCAACTGTTCAATCTGTTGGTCAATCAATTAATTAAAAACTATTTACTGAGTGCCTGACATGTGCCAAGCACTGTCTAAGCTATTAGGGTAAATTGGTGAAAAACAAAAGAAATACATAAACCATATAAGAAAGACCTTAATCAAATAATCGCAAAAATAAATAAGTTGAGTATCTGTCCTTTTTTGCCCTTTGTTGGCTCTTTTGTAGTTTATATGACAAATCTACACTAGAAACATGCCTTTAACATCCTGCAACTTTTCCACAATGTACCTTGCTCTCTTACCTCTTTCACAGGCACAAAGAACTTAAGAATTAGAGAAAACTTGGAAATTAACCGGTGTGGCACTTCTCAAACTTGAACGTACATATAATTAATGGAA